TCTGACATTCTCTTAAGACCGTTGGTTATGCCGCTGTCTCGTACAGAGTCATCCAGTACCTTTTCTGATTATGATTTCTAACCTTGAAGTGTTCCAGCGTTTGGGAAAAACGTAATCCTGGTTTAAAGTGGTTCGAGAATTTGAAGCCGCGTCAAGAAAGAATACATTGAAAGTAAAGATTGTTAGAATCTTTACCTAGAGTCGGTTATACTTGAAAAGACAGCTGCCATTCAGTCATGCCAGTAAAATTTCCAGGAAGCGGTATCTTGGTCTTCAGTCGCATATTCGTGTGAAACATAAATTGCATTATGACATAACTGAATTTCAAACAATTAAATAGACAGTTTATCGGCTTTGTCATAATTTCTTTGGCACACTGACTGCTAGAGCTCTGTACAGGTAGTTGCTTTGACATTCATTTGCATCGCAATACAATAAGATATTCAGCAGAAATATGACATTGGATATCAAGATATGCCTTGAAGCCGCATATGAGATTTGCTTACAGTTTGTCGATTGTTTTCATATTCAGAGTTTGCCAGAAATATATGAAAAATGAATATTATACTTGATAAGCCATGATGATGAGGTAGATTTTCTGTGTCATGCATATCAAGGTTTATTAGATGCTTAATTAGTGCTCACAAGATAGGCAGCATTCTAATCTTACGACCTTGCTGTGGTTTGACTACATCTGCCACCTCTGGAAAACTTCTCAATGACACCGAGATGAGATTTTAGTTTGTTCAATATTCAGCTAGTGTTAGACGCGCTTGTCTATTAGCATATGCCAATTTTCGGTATGGCATGGGCCCTGATATCGGATCAGAGCGCCCCTTGTGGCTGCATTTTGCCTTGAACCACCTGACAGCTGGTAGCTGGTTATGTGATGCAATTCAGCACAACGTCTAAACCCAGATTCGATTTTTCCTTTCATGTCGCTTTATACTTTACCATTTAAAGTATCAAGTTTAATTGACGGCGGTATGTACAAAGGGCGATCATCAAACTCATTGAGTAACTCGTTGGGACATCAAAATATTGGATTGCGTTGCCCAGGAGCGGCAATAAATTCCTTCCGTGTCTGCACAGTGCTCTGGATTGCACAATACGAAGGACGCTAGTAAATGTAGAGCGGCTCCTCCTAAATAAGTTAATGAAAGTCAAAAATTCAGCAGCTGCATTAAAAGGAATGGGTATCTGTCAGGTAATGAGTCTAACGTTCCATTCATCATGAATTGAGGTTGCCCATTCTCAGGTTCATGATTTAACTTAAAATTTTCATCCATACAGTTGCTAAGGAAATATATTGAATTACTATTCCAAATGTGGCCATAAGGTTTAATGTCAATACAGAAAAATGAAACCTGATCTTATGGGTTTTCTAGCATATTGCTGGTTATTGATGCCGCCGGTAAGATATATAATCCTTTTCAGTTTTTTGATGCCGAATTGAGGCAGCATAAGCACCGTCCCTTTGCCTCTAGTGTCCTAGGGCACTATTCAAGCATTACAAGGTTCCATAGTATTTATTCCCCTGTAGTGCATGGATGCAAAACCGCATTAAAATGGTTTAATATCGTATTACCTGCATGAAATGGCGGTGTAGAATGGCTAAACCATGTTTCATGAAAATCTTCCGTCCATTACGTATTTTTTAACACTGTGTATTTCTACAGGATGTAGATACGGAAAGCTTGAGAAATTTTGTTGTAATTGTTTTCAGAATTATACGGCTTTTTACTCGTGCGTGAAAACTACAGTATTGATGTTTAGTGGAAGAACACCCGTAATATTCTAACTTTGGAAAAAAATTAGAAGTGAAAGAAAAGGCGATATGTTTCAAACAAATAGTTTTTCCTCAGTAGACTAAAGTTGGCAATATTAGCTTATTCAAATAAATTTTTTTCCATTCAAATACTCAACTATTTCAGTTCTGGTTCAGATAATGCGGAATAATGTCCGATCTTGCGTCTGAATGTGGCGAGCCACAGGCGGGTAGGGTCCAGTCTGAAGTAGTTATGGTCACATATTTTGCATGACGAGTTTTGGTTTGGTTCTCGGGTAGTGAATTTTATTAATACATTTTAAACGAGCGTTTAGGTCTAATGCAAAAGTTACAACAATATCTTAGAAATATTACTGACACTAAAAAATTACTTCAGAGAAAGTCATCGTTGAACAACTGCATTATTTTCTTAAAGCGAAGTATCAGTAAACAACACAATTTGCCCCTGTGCATGAGGATGTACTATGGTCACCATAGGTGCAGTCATATAACAAACAATTCAATGAACAGCTGTTTTTTAACCAGATTAATTTTTTATGGTAGGATCAAAACCGTGATGATTGTCCAGTACATTTGATATGTCTGCTAATAAACCGATACTTCGATTACGAACCACGTTGGTGACGTCCCACTGTGCCGCTTTTCTGCAGTTCTGGAGCATGTCAGGATGTCGTTAGGCTTTTCTAACCTAATATGATTATGCGTATCAAAAAGTATGCCGTTTCTTGAGACACGATGATGACTCACTCCTCGGCCCCGACGGTAAATGACTACAAAATGCAGGTATTAGAAACCTCCTGTGCACAAAACCGGTGTTTCTGATATTCATAACCATCTCTGGACCTGTGGATGCGATGGGTTTTGTGTTATTTGTTTTTAGAGAAAAGCAGTGACTTTTTGTTTTCCTAAATTCACCCGTGATTCTTGCGTTTCCACAACTTCAGCGCTTTGTGATTCAATATAGGGCTTGTTTAGTCCGTTTTAACGTGCTTATTAGCATATTGTTAAGTAATGGCATATGACAGTATTAATCATGGTACTCGATATCATTAATCTGGGTACTGTATCCTTGACTGATGTCCCAGATGACGATAACAACAACATTAGCATATGATTTTTAGTAAATGCAAATAATTTACTAGTCTTCGCTTCAAAACCCACATAGAGCCTGGGATCAGCGAAGAACGATAACCATTATGTTGAGCCATCCTGCGAATCTCCAGTTTGCTAGAAGAGCAAACCTGTGTACTATTTCATCTTTCGCTTTTTGTAACGGCGAGAACTGGTTCATGGATTGTGTCTTCTTTTATTCAGACAAGAATGATGCAGTTTTTTCGTGGTCAATCAATTCAAGGAAAGTTGGCAGTGTTTAAAAATTTATTTATAATTAATTCAAGCAAACAAACTGGGAATCAGTTTATTCTGCGCACTGTAGCTGTTATGGCTGTTATGACATTTAAAGCGAAAGAATCTTACTTATAAATAACCCGTTTTTGTACATTTCTCTGTTTACGTTATGATCACCAATGCAAGAAAAAAATGTTCAAGCGTCAGATTAACTGAAGGAAAGTGAACAGCATTGTTTGTCTGCATTCCGTGATGTCGAAAGGTCAGCTTCTCTCGATTTTTAGTGGTTTGTCCACAACCGTTTTTCTTCCATTAGAATTATGTACTTAATGATAAATTTAAATCATTTTTATCAGTCATTTCTTT